GAGTGAGCAAGCTCCACCCTCAATGCGGGCAGCACCATCCAATGGGCTGGGCCTGGATGGAACAAACAGGCGGAAGAAGGGGAAATTCTCTATCTTCCAGAGTGGGCTGCCCTTCTCCTCCTGGCCCTGGACATCAGAACTCCAGGTTCTTCAGCCTTTGGACTCTGGGACTTATACCAGTGGCCCTCTGGGCTCTCAGGCCTTTGGCCTAAAGCAAAGAAGTACAGTTGGCTTCCTTGGTTCTGAGGCTTTTGGACTTTGACTGAGCCCTACTACTGGCATCCTAGGGTCTTCAGCTTGCACATAACCAGTCAGGGACTGAGCCAATTTCCCTAATAAATCCCTTCTCATCCATCTATTTATCTATCTATCCATCTATCGCCTATTAGTTCTGTCTTTTTGGAGAGCCCTAACACAATCGCCTTGGGGACTTGGACCAGAAAATAAGGAGAAATTATTTCATCACCCACGGAACTGAAGGTGAAACAGTAGCAAGTACATTTCTGTATAGTAATAGAGAAAGAGGCTTCTGAGCTAAGGGGTAGGAGAAAAAGGAGGGAGCAGGGGACCTGGGAGGCAGAAGACTTGAACTTGAACCATGGCCTTGCCACTCCATAGAAGTTCTGTCCTAGACAAGTCACTTTGCATCCTGAGTCCCAGTTTCCTCATATATTAAGTTATATGAAAATCAGAATCTCTATCTCACAGGATAACTGTGTTAATGGAAAGAGAGAGTGAAAATGTACAGCATAAGGTGGACAATTTATAAATATTGAATTAATAAATAAATCTTTCTCAGAGCTTATAAAGATGAAGTAAGAGACTGAATATATTTAGTCTTTGGATTTCATATAATTGTTTCTCATTTCAAATTAGTTGACCTGGATGAGTGCCAGGAAGCTGATGTATTTCTGTCTCATTTATCTTCTTGATGGTATAATTCATCTCATGGTTTTCAAGTTAGAATTTTCAGCCAAACTATTCACTAAATGGTGAAGTAGAATAAGGACAGATCCAGATGTGAAAGGACTCAAAACTCAGTCTGTAGTGCACTCTTTCTTAAGAAGCCACTGCTGCTTGTTGCAGTGTGTGCTCTGGGAAACTCCAGCACTATGGACTCAGGTCTGGGTTTACATTCTAGCCCCACCAGTTACAAACTGGAGGCAAGGCAGTTAGTCTCTCTGACACTCATCTCCCAATTTATAAGGGGGGATAATTCATAATTTGTAAAGTAGGGATGATGTGTGTAACGCAGGTAGGTGCTCAGCCAGAGTTCATTCCTTCCTCTCTCCCATCCTCAGCTGTCCCCAGCACAATCCAACAAGCCATCTTTGTGTTCCACTCCCACAGGACCAGGCTCTGGAAGTCATGTCATAGAGTGGACAACGCAGTAACCCTGATAGGTAAGCTGACAAGAGGAATTTGCTTCATAATCAGAGACTCCTGAAAGCACCTAAAAGCTCCAAAGTCTTCATGACTCAAAGGAGCACACTGACAGCTTGCTTCAAAAAGTCCCTTTTGAACCTCTGAACCCCAAATGGATTCTTGGAGTGGGCGACAGCCCTTGAGTATCCCCTTGGGGGGTCCTTCCCCACTGGGCTGACCTTGCTGAGGTGCTCAGTACCCATTGCCCTCAGTCCCTGGGACCGAGCAGAGGCTCTGAGCTCCCAGGAAAATGTGTGTTTCAGGCCAGGCTCTGGAGGCCTCCTTCCTCAACAGGAGATGCAAAGGTCTCAGCTACACCAAGGAGGCATCTGGCAACAGAAGCAACTGTTTTCTGACAGCTATATATATATACTGACTATAGTCTGCCCTATACTTTTCTACATATTTTTTGCATTTTTATTTCCCCACCAGAAACATCCAGTTAGACCCCAGGAGTGCCTGCATCATTGGCATAGGATTCTGACATGAACAGGAATGGCTGGTGTGGGGGCTGAGTGGCTGTGTCCTTGCTCCTGTCACCCAGCCCAGGGTGGTGGCTTTGTTTTCAGGCTGATCCACCACCTGAACAAACTGTGTTGCATGTAAGATGCTTTGGTAGGCTTTAGAGCACAGTCAAAAGAGGAGCCAGTGATTAGACCAAGTTTCTGCTTCTTGGCTCCTGCATTTATCATTTTTGTGACCTTGACCTTAACCCCATGGAGGCTCAGTACTCCAGTCTGTGAAAGGGGCACTCCAGGTTTGCAGGGTTGGGTTTGAAAGGAGAGCCCCCACACACTCTAGGGGCTCACCCACCTCCCCACAGTGCCCCAATGCTGACCATACCTTCCATCTCTGTCTCTCTAGAGTTTTTGTTCTTTCCTTACACTGGGCATACTCCCATCTCACCCTTGGTCATCTGGTTTTCCCTCCCTGAACTCTCTCTGGATTCTTCATTCTCTTCTGTGATGTGGTAACCAGGACTGTGAATCCCAAGTACAGGGGACCAAACTTTCATACAAAGATGGGACAGTGTCTGGGCCATCTTAGAGATTCTTAAAGGCGCCTAAATCTTTTTGTTAGATTATGGTTGATAACTCAGACCCTACCATTTAATGTTTTATAAGCAAGCATTTTCATTGATATTTTGTAGTTACAAAAGTGATTCATGTTCACAATAAAAAGAAAAATATACAGAAGTGTAAAGAGTAAAAATTGAGAGTGTAACGGGAAATGGGCTGGGAAACGGGATAGTGTGTAAGAGGACAAGTGGGCACAGGTGTGGATGGCCACCTGCTCCCCACAGCACCTGAGATGCCCCACACCTGTTCTTGGGGTTGCAGCTGTCTGCCCACCTGTTACCAGAGGTGGTACTGTGTGTCTGATACAAGCATAGCCCATGGTCACCAGGACCCTGCCCTACTGCCTCCTATGGGGAGCATGAGGCTCTGAATCCTGTGTGGAGGTGGGACCCACAGCACGGGACCTCTCCTGGAGGGAGGAAACACCTGGAGTTTCCCAGAGGGGAGGAAGGAGTGGAAAGGTAGGATGAGAGTGACTAAAGGTCATGTCTCTTGGGGAGCATGTCAGAGCAATAGCCTTGGTGCCAGGAGCTCCTCGCCTCCTACTGGGATTTACTGCTGCTGTGGGGTCTAGGTGACCCATCTGGTGCAGGCTGCAGACTAAGGTCCAGATAGCCTGGCATCAGAGTCTCTGGCCTGCACTGCCTGTTGTCTGGCCCATCCCCAGCACCCCTGCCCCACCTGATGGCCGTGGCCCTCCTGATCCCCAAACCTGCTGGCCCACATTGTCCGGTCTTTGGATGGGGACTCCAAAGACTGGACAACGTCTTGGGAAAAAAGTAACGTTTTTTGCTTGCATTCATTGCTCCTGACTAGGAACATTTTTATCGTTACAACCGAAAACAAACTGCTGGTGAAGAGGGTGATGGTGACACAGCAAAATCTTCAGGAGTCTTGAGAGGACAGGTGTCATTTGGAGGCACATGACGGTTATATGGGATGGACAGTGGAAGGGCCAGGAGCAGGTCTCAGCAATGCCAAAGCACCCTTCCTGGGAGCCAGGAGAGAGGCCACTGGTCCAGCTACTCCCCGTGTCCCCTCTGTTCTCAGGGCTTAGGGGTGGGGAGGGAAAGGCATAATGGAGAACAAGAGAGCTGCATCCACCACCTGAAGGAACCTCTGCTGTGCTCCTGCCCTGCCTGTAAGGGGGAGACCAGGACGAACATGGATGATCCGTACACCCCCATTTCCATCTGAACTAAAGTGTCCCAGGGAGCAGGCAGCCGGGGCAGAGGCCATGGCCTTAAGAGTCACACCAGCCTCGCCAGTTATGGGACCGTGGGCAAAGTGACTCGAGGATGAGAGGACGCAGGGGACACAGGATGTGGTGACGGTTACCTTACTCCCTCCCACCCTGAAGAGACACTGCACTGGATCCACTCGCCAGCATCTACCGGGCGTCGGCCCACGGCAGGCGGGGAGAGGCACCACGAACAGGATGCCGAGGATCGCTGCAGGCCCATCGCGGGCAGCACTCGGAAGGCGTCGAAGAGAGCAGAGCTTCCAGGAATCAACTGTCTTTAGAACACTTGTCCCCAAATGTTCTAGATAAGATAGATGTTTGGTGCTGACATGCCGCATTATGAAAACAGTGACAACACAACCCTGTAGGAATTGCGTGCTTGGGGTTAAGAGTGTCCGTATCTGAGGGTCTCGTCTTTGAACACAGTCCCAGGAGCAGCTGTTGCAGCAGGAAGGCCCTGCTGGGGGTGGGGCCGTGCCCCAGGGCCCCGAGCTGCCCATGCCCCTGACCCTTCCATGGTCTCCATGGCGTCAGCACTCGCACTCCCTTGTGCTTGGCTGCGACCTTTGCTACGGCAGCACCTTTACCTTTAGGTTGGAAATGGTATGAACCAAGGGTGCGACCCGTGGAACGCTGCGGACACAGGCGCTTGGCCACCCCACTTGTCTGCTTCACTCTATTTCTACACGAGAACATTCGAGCCATGTCGGCAGGCACAAGCTGCTCCTAAATGTGAAGGGCTGCGAAACCTTCCTGCCAGGAGCACCCACGGAGCCCATCTGGGAAACACCGGGCCAGCTCAGTCACCTTCTGCCTTCAGTGTGACTTCTCGAAGCCACAAATTCCATAGATGTTTAGTTGGGGAAGAAACCCAAGCCTGGCAGCTCTGGCCTTCAGAGCGTGGCTTGTGCAGTGGCGCTGTGCGGGGATGATGGCCATCGCATGTCACCTCCAGAGGCTGTGCCCCGAGCTCCCTCCTGCCGCCTGCTGCACGATGAGGTCAGAGGAAGACGGCAGGGGGCGACCTGCGTGGGTTCGTGCCTCGCCTGCGAAATGCACGCAGGGTCGTGCGCATGCCCCTGGGGTCTGGCAGGGACCAGCCACCGCCCACGACCCTCCCACGCATCCTCATTTGGAATCCAGCGTTTGAGAGCTGGAGTCTGTCTGTCCTCCACAGCTCAGGGAACCGCAGTCTGCCTGCACACCCGCCACGCTGTTGGCGGCCCCGGTGGCCTCCCGGGAGCAGCACTTACCCGCCGCCGGTGCCGCCGTTCTTGCTGAGGTGCGTGCGCGGCTCGCTGGAGGCCAGCTTCAGCAGCTCCGTCCACTCGCGCTCCCACTCTTCCTCCGTGTACACCAGCCCGGACTGCACACAGGGACGCGGCTCAGTGGGGCGCTGCAGTCCTTCCTCCCCTCCCCAGACCATCTGTGAGCGGCCACCTACCGTCCACCCCTATGCCATGGACAGTATATTTTCGAGCTGTTGGGAGTTTACCCACCAACAAGGGCCACTCCCAGGGGGCAGGAATGACCGAATGTTAACCTGTGCACGCACCAGGCGTAGGGCTGACCGTTAGAGAGTTTAAACAGGTAACGGCCAACTTCCATCACAGAGCTGACAGATTCTTCTTCCAGGAGAGCGAGTGCTAATGTTTACCACAGTTAGGGGACTGGGATTCTCTCTGGATTGTGCTCACGCATGGGGGCTGGGGCTGGGGCTGTGGCTGCACCCGACAGGGAGGTGACCATATATAATGTGTCATCCAGGCCAGGATGGCTGAGAGTGAAGGTGGGCAGCTTCTGTGATTAAGTCAGTGCAGGAGGCGTGAGTGGACTTGTGATCACTGTCTTCCAGGCCTGTGCTACTGTAACGGGCTCCTTCTCCACAGGCCTGTATGGGGGAGGCTCACCAATCCCAGAAACTATTTCTGCCTGACCCCCAAGGCGGGCTTGGACCTGGGGGCCACTCCAGACTTCGCCATGGCCCGAGGCTGTGCCTGGCATGGGTTCTGGGCTCCAGCCACGCCAGCGAGTACCAACCTCCTTATTCTGCTGCGTCTGCTGCCACCTCCACCTCCGCTTCAGGGCTTCCCTTTCAGCCCCTGTCCTCATCATGGTGTAGAGTGCTTTCCGCAAAACCAGGTCCCGGTCATGAAAGCCCCACATTCCTGCAGCCGGAGGCCATGAGGAGCAGAGGAGAGAGAAAGGACATGAGGAAGGACAAGCTGGGGCGACTCAATCACGACGATCTTCCAGGCCTGGCCTCCCCTGCCCGCATGCACAAAGGTACCTCGCTCGTGACCTGTTCAGTTCTCCCCTCTGTCCTTTCTCCCCATGCTTCCCCATCAATCCAAGTAGGCCAGGGAAGCAGCACGCCCCCTTCTTAGCAAAACAATAGTGGTGAAAAGCCAGTACTGCCTCTCTCTGGGACCCTCAACAACCCACTCTCAGTCTTGCAGGTTTGCCGAGGGGCTTAGTGTCAATATCCAGGTCTTGTGTTTGGGTGGGAGGGAGATGGCCTGTGGGGACATGTTGGCGACGTGTCCTCATAGAGGGCCCTGAGCCAGGACTCCTCCAGGGTCTGCCCTAGCTGAGGTCCTCAGTCCTAAGGCACCTCAACTTCCTGAGAAGCAAAGCCTCGGTGGACATCGCCACACACATCTGGCACTGGGGACAGTGTGGGCTTCCCAGTGAGAAGTTTTCCCCATGCTGGTGACAGGGGTTATAAAGACAAACCAGCCATCTCTGAGCATGTGCTCTGGGCGGCTCAGACGCAATAAGAAACCCAACGAATGGGAGAAGCACCCAGGGCAGGTGCAGCCCTGGCCACTGGGGAGAATGGGGCGGGGGAACATTCATTCATTCACTCACTTATTCATTCATCCATTCTAGGTATTAGGAATATGCATGGCAGAGACCAGGACAGCGAAGTTCCTAAAATCGCACTGAGCACACATTGTGGGGAGGTGGGAAGTGAGACCACCCTTAAATTAGTACATCATGTATGATGTCAGGGCTGGCAGCACCGGAAGGAGAGACAAAGCAGGAGAAGATGACAGAGTGGCAGGTGTACTTGTTATGGCATGAATGGAGACATCAGAGAAAAGGCTTGAGTGGTGGAAGAAGGGAGCCGAGTCACCATCCCAGGCAGAGGGAAAGGCCAGGGACAGGTCCCAAGGAGGCAGCCATGCAGTGTACTTGAGAAAAGGCAAAGGTGGGTAGAGCTGGGACTGAGGGGATGAAGCGTAGAGTAAACAGGTGGGCTTTCAAGTAAGCTGGGAGCCTCTCCAGGGTTTGCAGAAGAGGAATGACCTGAGCTGACTGACATTTTTCAAGGCTCACACTGGCTATGCATTCTGCACATGCAATAATCAAGGACTGCTGCGGGATTTCTAGCAAGGGAGGCTTTTGTCTTTCTTTACAGGACAGATGGGGGAAATGGCCATCCCTGTTCCTGTTTCAGCTGCTTTCCGGGACTCTGCAGCCAGTGTTGGCTCTCTGGCTCCTGTGCAGGTCTCTTTGCAGAGAGGGTCTCCTTGTCCCCCACATGTTTGCCTATAGGACTGACTCCAGTGTTACTATCGTTTCTATGTGTGTCCCACAGTCCTAGCTCCATGTCAGGCTTGGTGAGCAGGTGTTCAGCAAGCATTGCTCGTGAATGTCACTTAGCTGCTTTGGGCAGTCCTTAGCTATATGAGCACAAAATGAAAACAAAATACTGAATAACAGGATAAAAGGCTGTGGGCTCCGGACTCATTGTTGTGCGGGGGATTCTTGGACATGGACCTCAAAGCCCTGGTCAGTCCTGGCCCAGCCTCTCCTGCACCTGCAGCAAGGCCAGCCAAGGGAGGCTATCTGTTCCCAGGGTGGCCTGGGAGGCCCACCACGCTCACAGGGGAAATGCATACCATCAGGAGGCACCACAGTGGTGCGTGGCCTTGTCCACCCATGGTGCTGAGGGGACAGTGACTGAGTACACTGCAGTTTCTGAAGGACAAAGGCATTTCCATGCTTTTGACACAGATGAGAGTTCTTTTATATTCAATCTCCAGATTTTATATAGAACAAGGTAAAATATATTTAATAATAGGGAATAGTTAGTATTAAATATCATGATGAAATATGGTCCAACTATTAAAATTATTTATGTAAAGAATAATAGCATGGAAAGTTCTCAACTAAATTTTAGGGGGGAAATGTTGGATTCCAAACTGTGAACACAGTAAGATCATAATTTCACTTGAGGAATAGACAGAAGACTGGAAGACAGTACAGCAAAATGTTAAGTGGCCATCCTGGGGGCGGGATTATTGATTTTTATGTTCTCACCATGATGAATGTGGAATCCTTCTATAATGTCAACAAGCAGAATGTACTTGTGTATTCACACAAAGGAAGCCGGGAAGGGAGTGCCTTTGTGTTCCCCCTTGTTGCCCGTCAAGCTCCCCCTTGGCCTAGATCTCCACTCTCCTCTGGGCCTCCCTGGCTGTTCCCAGGCCCTGGTGCGTCTTGCTTGAAGCCCTTTACAACCTTGTCTCAGCCTGCTTCTTGATGAACAGGCCTCACTGCAGGTCGAAAGGGAGGGCTGGGGCCTGGCCCTTGCTCTGGATCACCTGGGGAGGTGACTGTGACCAACAGGGACCCCATTCTTGCCTGAGGGTCCTGTCCCCTGGAGAGAGACTCTATATTCCAGGACCGATGAGGAACAACTGGCTCTGAGGCTGGGACCCCTGGCACAAACCCAGACTCACTCATCAAAAGTGCTTCGGCCTTGTGTATGTAAAGCTGGGCCTAGAAGGGACAACTGAGCTTCCAGAAAATCTACTGTAACCCTCAGTTATCCAAATATTGCCATTCATGCCTGTGCACCTGCTGGTGCAGCTTTCTGTGACCACAAAACTCACATCTTTATTGGAGAAGGTTGTCAATATCTCTGCTGTATATTCTGACTATGCCAATTCCCCTGTGATTTACCCTCGCGGCACCTACGTCTACATCTTTTTATCAGTCCAAGTCCATTATCGACTGCTGTCAATATGGTGGCCCCACAACTACCCAACCTCATGCACCGCTGCCCAAACTTCTTGCTCAAATCTTACATAGCTCAGCCCTGCCTCCAAACACCTTGTTGATTCCTGCCTTTATGCTTTATCTGTGTGGTCTCCCTGCCTGGAATATCCTCTTTTCATGCCTGGAATGAACTCCCTTTGGAGTTTTTCAAGTCTCAGTAAAGATCTCAACTTGTCCGGGAAGTCGTCCTTGATTATTCCAGGCCACAATCTCTAATTCCTATCCCTGCAGCTCATGCTCAAGGTCTCCTTCTGTCATGATAGGTCTTTTCCCAGGTGCATTATGTGCCTCCACCAAGCCTGTAAGCTACTTGGCCAGAAGGGCTGGGATTGTCGGTGCCATCTTTCAGGGATTCTTCAGATGACAGTGACACGGCTGGCTCTACTTAGTATATGTTTGTTCTTTAACAACACATTGAGCAGGCTGGAGCCCTGCCACCCTCTGTCAGTGCTGTGGAGCTTACCCAGTGAGGCGGCATGTAAAAGGCAGTTCCCGTCCCCTGTCGTGGCCAGAGGAAGAAGCCGTTTACAGCTTGTGCACACAGTGGACCACCAGTTCAGGCGACCTGGAACAGAAGTTCACTTTAGAACAGGTTCCCAGAAAAGGCAGGGACCACTGCTAAGTCAGCACAAACATCAGTGAAAGATTTTCTAGAGGAATTTGGTAGGAAAGCAGAGCATTATGGCTACTTTTTTCTCAAATGAAATCTAAATTTCTTTCCCTTCTAAGGCAAGAAAATGGCCAAAACCTCCCATCAATTTGCAAGAAGATTAAGAAATTCAAGGCCAAAGCCTTCTCTCCTTGAATCTGAGAACATCTTTTACACAAAATATAAAATTTCTCTTTAATTTCCTTGAACACACTTCCCCTCATGAAAGCTATTTTTTCCTTTAATCATCCTTCTTTTTTTGATGCATGTATGTATGGCATACATTTAATTTAATGCATCAAAACTATTATAGCTGCTTAGGTGTAGTCATGTTAAATTTCATTAACACATTTAGAGACTTCCACTTCTGAGAAGACAGAGTAGATGTACTTATCCCTATCCCTCCTACTAAGTACAGGTAAAAGCTCTGGGCAATATGTGTAAAATAATATAAGAGACTCTGAAAATTGGAGAGAAGGCAGCAGACTGGCTAGAGATCTTGGGATCTGAGGAACAACACAATGATAGGTTCTTTGGAGTTTCTTTTTGCCTCAGATATCTCAGATTGGATATTGGAGAAGCTGGCATCCTGGAAACACCAATGGGAAAAGGCAGGAAAAAAAAAAGAAAAGAAAAAAGGAAAAGCATTTAGACAGAACACCAGGAAAGGGTCTGCTTAGCAAGATAGTGACTGCTTAGACATTAACCACTTTATTCCAGCCAAATACCACAGAGAAAATTATATCCCCACCTCCGCAAAGGCCTAGAGGGAGCCCAGACTTCTACCCCTGCTGACTGTAATGAGGTGCTCACCACCCGGCCCCCACTGCCTCGGGGTATCATGGAAGGCTGAGTGCCAAATTGAACTTCAATGCTGTTGGGTGGTAGTGAGAATCTCACCCCTACCACCGGAGGCCATATGGGAGCCTAGACTTTCACAATTATCTGGTGGTGATGAGATTCCTCACCCCCTCCAGCCAGGGTGGTATCAGCAGAGGCCGAGTGGAGGACCTCAACTCCCACCCCGCTCAGCAGTACCAAGAAGCCCATTGCACAGAGGCAGCCACAGAGGCAGAATGAAGAACCTATGATTCTACCCCATTTGGCAGTTATGAGGCAACAACCTCCTGAACCTACCACAGTGGTGTCAGAAGACATCTGCTAAGACTTGGGATTTAAATAAGATCTGGAGCCCTATAACTTAGTACTTTTTAATCAAAGATAGTTTCTCCCAAGAACCAGGAAGATTTAAGAATGAGAAAAGACAATCAACAGACACCAACACTGAGATGACACAGAAGTTAGAATTATCTGACAAGGATTTTAAAGCAGTCATCATAGGGCCAGCCCCGTGGCTCACTCGGGAGTGTGCAGTGCTGGTAGGGATTTGGATCCTATATAGGGATGGCCGGTGCACTCACTGGCTGAGCATGGTGCAGACCACACCATGCCGAGGGTTGCGATCCCCTTACCGGTCAAAAAAAAAAAAAAGCAGTTATCATAAAAATGCTTTAACAAGAAATTAGAAACATAATTGAACACATGAAAAAAAGTCAGCAAAGAAATAGAAAGTCTCACCAAAACAATAGAAGACACAAAGAAGAACCAAGTGAAGATTTTGGAACTGAAAAATACAATAACTGATTTGAAAAACTCAATGGATGTGCTCAACAGCAGGATGAAGAGAACAGAAGAAAGAATCAGTGAATGTAAAGATAGAACATAGAAATTACCCAATCTGAATAACAAAGAGATATCAGATTAAAAAAAAAAAAGATCAGAAAGGGACATGTGGGACCACAACAAAAGACCTAACTAATATCACCAGAGTCTCATAGGAGAGAAGAAATAGGGTAGAGCTGAAACAGTATTAAAATAAATACTCACCGAAAATCTCTCAGTTTTTCAAAAAATAATATGTTTTAAAGAAACTGATCAAACCCCAAACATAAAAAGCCCATGGAAATTCATGCCAAAAAACACACTGTAGACAAACTCTTGAAAAATAAAGACAAATAAAAAATTCTGAAAACTACCAAAGACAAATATTTCTAATGACAACACATTTCTCATCAGAAACCATGCAGGCCAGGAGGAAGTGGAACAACATTTTATAGGTGCTGGAAGAAAAGAACTGTCAATCCAGAATTCTATAGCCAGCTAAAATATCCTTCAGAACCAAAGAAAGGAAGCACATTCTGAGATGAAGGAAGACTAAGAGAATTTTCTGTTAGCAGACATACTCTAAATGAATGGCTAAACATAAAAGACATGATAAAAGAAGGAATTCTGGAACATCAGGAAGGGAGAACATTGAAAGAAGCAAAATATAGGCAAATAAAATACCCTTTTCTCTCCTCTTGAGTTTTCTAAATTATATCTGACAGCTGAAGCAAAAACCGTAACATTGTCTGTCTGTCTGTCTCAATGTATGTAGAGGAAATATTTAAGACACATTATAAAAAAAGCATAAAGGCAGGTAACATGTATATGCTTCACTAAAAGTGGTAAAATGTCAACACCAAGAGGCTTTGATAAGGTATGTGTATACAATGTGATACCTAGAACCACCACTAAAAAGGCTATAAGACCTGTCTCCTTAATGCAATAGGCAGTGGGTCAGTCTCATAAAAAGGATATATAAAGAGACACTCAAAAACCAATCCTATACAATCTCCTTCAGAAAATAGCCAGTAATGCCCTAATACAAAACTAGACAAAGAAAGTACAAAAGAGAGAAAACTGCAAACCAATATTTTTCATGAATATGATGCAAAATTCTTCACAAAATATAAACAAATAGCACACAGCAATATATACAAAAAAATTATACACCATGGCCAAGTGGAGTTTATTAAATGGATGCAAGCCTGGCTCAATATTTGAAAATCAATTAATATAATTTGCCATAATATTAGCTACAGAAGAAAAATCACATGATCATAACATAAACAAAGAAAAACCATTTTACAGAATTCAATATCCATTCATGATAAAAACTCCCATAGAACTTAGAATAGAGGGGAACTTCCTCAACTTGAAGCGCATCTACAAAAATCATACCGCTAACCTCATACTTAATGGTGAAAGACTGGATGCTTTCCTTCTAAGACTGGGAAAAAGCCAAGGATGCCTACTTTCACCACGGCTATTCGACATAGTACCAGAAGTCCTAGCCAGTGAAATGTCAAGAAAAAGAAAAAAATATTGCATTTACAGATCAGAAAGAAAGAACACTAATCTTATCTGCAGATTACATAATGGTTTATGTAGACAATCAGAAGAAAGCTACAAAGAAACTATAAATAATAAGTGATTTTTTTGAGGTCTCAAGATATGGGATAAACATATACAAATCAATTGTATTTCTACATACTAGCAATGAATACATGAGAATCCAAATTTTAAAATATAATACCATTTATAATCGCTTAAAAAATGAGACAGGTATAGATCTAACATGATGTTTAGCACTCATATGCTGAAAACTATAAAACGCTGATGAAAGAAATAAAAAGAGATCTAAACAAATGGAGAGACATGCCAGTTTCGTGAACTGAAAATCTCTCCGAATCGTAAAGACATGAATTCTCTCTAAATTGATCCATAGGTTAAATGCAAGTCCTATCAAAGTTCTGGTCACCGTGCTGTACATTATATCTCCACAACTTATTCATACTGCCCCACTGAAACTCTTTGTCTTGTAATTAGTTCATTTCCATATAATATAAATAGTGATACATTTTGGTTTAAATCTATCATTATTTTGATTTAAATCTAAATCTATTATCTTACTGTTTATTGTTGTCATCGTGTTTCTTTTTTTCCCTCTCCGTACTCTTTTGAATTATTTAAGAATGTTTGTCACTTTGTTTTTCCCTCTCTTAGCTTGTTAGGTTTTGGTGGTTACCCCACAGTTTACAAAATGCATCTTTGAGTTATTAGAATTTATCTTCTTTAGGTACTTTTTACCACTTCCTGATCAATGGAAGGACCTTAGAATTTGTCATTTATTACACACTCCCATATTTTGTGTTATTGCTGCCATGTGTTCTAATTCTATATATAATTTAATTCTTACAAGACATTGTTAGTGTCACTTTAAATAGTCAGTATTAATTTACATTTGCCAACATATTTGCCCTTATAAGTCTCTTTATTCCTTTTGTATATCCTGCTTCCATTCAGGATAATTTTTCTTCTGCTTTTAGTATTTTCACTGCAGATCTAGTGGCAATCAATTGTCTCTTTCTGTTTATGTGAGGTACAGAATTCTATATTGGTAATAATTTCCCTTCTAAAAAACCATGTATGGGGCCAACCCCATGGCTCACTCGGGTGAGTGCGGCGCTGGGAGCGCAGATTGCCGGGGGCTGTGGGGAGGGTAACGGGAGCTGCTGTTCCACGGGTGTAGAGTTTTTCAGTCATGCAAGATGAACGAGTTCTAGAGAGCTGCTGCATCACACTGTGCTTATAGTTAACAATATTGTACTGTACACTTAAAAATTTGTGGGCCGGCCCCATGGCTCACTCAGGAGAGTGAGGCACTGGGAGCACAGCAGCGCTCCCGCCATGGGTTTGGATCCTATATACAGATGGCCGGTGTGCTCACTGGCTAAGCGTGGTGCGGGCAACACCAAGCCAAGGGTTACGATCCCCTTACTGGACACACACACACACACACACACACACAGACAGACACACACACAGAAAAACAAACAAACAAACAAAAACCATGTATGTGTGTATCAAAGCACATTGTGCATTGTAAATATATCCAGTTAGCTCACCACAGTTTCCTGGACCCTGGAAGAAGACACAAGACTCTGAGGCAGAGACAATTTATTACTTGCAGCACAGCAAGCAGTGTAAGCCTCATCTTTATGTCAGTTCTCTTTGTCCCAAAATCTTGTGGG